ACTGGATATTATTGATATTGGTCTATTGTTGTTAACATCTGTTTTTGTTCCTGATTTATGTATCGGTATTATATTACCTTTTTTTAAAATTGAGGGATATATGCCAGATTCAAAGCATTTGTTGATTAGGTAAGTGAGTGGTTCTGTTATGTCCTCGGCTATAATTTTCAAATGCTCGCTTTTAATACCATCGAACCCAGGACTATTCCGATTTTTTAAGGACACAACAGTGGTGTATACTTCACATTGCTCGACATTATCCAAAATAAATGAGTTCAAAGTTCTTTTTGGAGGCTGAGTATTTTGTACATTTGCTTGTATATTACATGCTAAATTTTCGCCTATGTCAGTAAAGAATTGTACAAATTCATCGCATATCTGTTGAGTATTTTTTAATACTGTTCCCGATGTTGAATTTAACTCAGTGACACACTCTTTAACTTTTGTTTTGCCAGTAATCTCATCAATAGTTGTCCAAAGCCGCTTAGGATCATTTAAGTTATTATTCAATTTATTTAGGTAATGTTTTCGTTTGGTTTGCCTTACAAGCTCTATAAATTTATTTTTATATTGTATGGATGTATGGATACCAATAAACCTGAATGGTTTTGTGGAAATATCAATCTAAGGGGCCATAATGGTTCTGATGAACGGCAAGGAAATGAATGAATGTTTGGAAACGAGCAATATCTTTTGGTAGAGCCTGTCATCAAGTAGGTGCTTAATGGCTATCTGCAAGAGGTTTATAGGAAAAAACACCCAGTATCGCATATCAGTTGGAGAAAATAATATAAACATGAATATAAAATCAACAATAGTAATTAAAACATGAATTTTATTCAAAAATCCAACATTTCTTTAAATTTTGACTGAATTATATGTAATTTGTTAATATTCAATAAGCTGGTGATGTTTCAATGACAAGCTGTCATCTCATACTTTGACAGTATTTTGTTTTCAACATTTCATAGCTATTGGTTGCTAAAATTTGTTGATTGGAACTTGAAGTTCATTCGTTGTATTTGACGGTCTGTTACCCTATAGGTGGAGAATTAAAGGACTGTTGTTGGTGAAATTGGCCCTAAGCCAAGCAATGGTCCAGCGCAGAATTTGTATCTAACGTTTGGCATTTGAGTAGAATCATGTCATTCTCCGCGAGATTATGCAGAAATGCCTTACTATTATGGTCCTGCCCTAGGACTGCCCGCATGTATTTGGAGTAGGTGGTTAGAAGAGGTGACCATAATCGTCGGTATATCCCGACTCCCGTGTTTTTCTACGCGTTCATAATGGAGGACCGCATACTATGCACTCATCGTCAGCTAGGGCTAGGAGCGCCGAGGATACGCCCAGAAGAAATAGAAGATATAATAGGAGCAGCTGAGAGAGCATATACAGATATAAGCACGAAGCAGAAACATATTCCATACTTCAGTACACACAACTACGCTCGATGAACATGCATCCTTACCATGTACAAAAAGTACAAGAATTGCTTCCAAGCAACTATGCATAACGGGTTGAATTTTGAGAGAACATGCTGAGAAGGTGCGAAGAGGATGAAACTTTTTTTGAGAGCATCTTATGGACAGATGATTCCAACTTTAACCGGAATGGAATACTCAACATGCACAATTTCTGTTCATGGAGCGTGGAAAATCCACACGTTATTCGCCTACATAGCTTTCAACGTCAGTTCGGCGTTATTTTACGGGCTCAACATGCATAGGCCTACTCTGCGTGACATCACAGGCTTTTCAGAGCCCAGTTGTTTGGCCTTGTACTCTCGGTGGTAACGGTAAGACGCGCCGTGAAGAACGGCGTGATATTGGATTTGCTATTGAGAGGCATGTATACTTTATCTGAAGTCACTTGAAACACTGTGAAATACTGGGTGCGTTTTATATATCTATATTTAACACGCTCTGTTGCTGCAAAAATCGCCAAATTTCGCAGCAAATATCCCCCGTATAAGATCAAAGGCAGTTTCACCGGTCCACGTGGAGTAAAGCACGCCTATGCGTGGACATAGCCAATGAGAAAGCGTGTATTTCAGAGCTCCGAACAAGTGCAGGTGGCTACTGAAAATTGAAACAGTTTAGCCAGTGCCGTGTAGCGGTGAATAAATGTGTTTTCTTTAGTCTGTCCGTGTTTTTTCATAGATTTTATTAGTTTGTGTGTTTTTGACTTTTGAATACTCAGTTTACTTGTTGATTTAATTGTTGTGTTGATTGTTCTTGTGTGTCCTAAATATGGCTCTTTGGAGACCTTGGGAAAATGCTCCAAACCACGAGGAGATGGTTGATGAACCTGTGCAGGCAGAATTCTTTCATAAAGATTTAGAGGGGGTAATCCTAAATATGTATGATTGTCTGAAAAACGAAAATCCAGATTCCTCGCAAAATCAAATTTTAAACAGAATTTGTATCCTGACAAAAATCAGTCGGTCTACCATTTATCGGGTTATAAAAAGGGGAGATGTAGTCAACCATTCCTTCCACAGAAAGCGCATAGGGCAAAAATTAAAAAGATTAGACGTGGGTTTTCAGGAAGATATTCGTCGTATAATATACGGATTTTATAAAGAAAACATGGTGCTCACGTTGGAAATGATACGGGATAAATTAAAAGATTATCCTGAAGATTTTTATAATTACAAATGCTTAGACTCACTGCACTGTATTGTAAAACTGTGTGGTTTTCAATACAAAAAATTAGATAAAAGAATGGTGATTATGGAGTCGTCTCGAATCGTTGAATTGCGCCAAGAATTTTTGCACAAAGTTAAAATCTATAGAGAGCAGAAAATAAATCTGATTTACCTGGATGAAACGTGGTATGATACCCATGATGTTGTGCAGTACGGCTGGGTTGACGACAGCAACAAGTGCATTTTAAATGCACCATGCAACCGTGGAAAACGAATCGTTATTCCCCATGCTGGCAGTGAAAATGGATTTATACCTAATGCCTTGCTGTTATCTGCCAAAAATATCAAAGAATCATGTGCCGACTATCATGAGGACATGACCTCCGACTTATTTGAAAAGTGGATAGAGCAGCAGTTAATACCAAACATTTCCCCAAATTCAGTGATTATTATGGACAATGCGCTATACCATTCCCGACAGAAAAACAAAATTCCGAATACAGGCACAAAAAAATAAGACATTATTGATTTTTTGAAGGATAAGGGAATGGAAATACCACAAAAATCAACCAAAGCCATATTATTGGATCTTATTAAAAGACAAAAATTTGAAAAAGTATGTTGTTGACAATCTGCTTCAGCAAAATGGCCATGAAGTATTACGTCTACCTCCCTATTACTGCATTTTTAACCCGATTGAGTTGGTCTGGGCTGTTTTAAAAAAAAAGTAAGAAAACATATTCAGACCCCTCAATTAAGTGAATCCCTATTGGCCACAATAAGAGATGCAGTATCTCATATTGCTGCCACAGACCTATGGAAGCAGTGTTCTAGGCATATTATTGAAAAAGAAAATGAATATTGTGTTTTGCCTCCTGTAAATCCCGTTGTAATTCCTCTACAAGATGACTCTAGCGACAGCTCCGAAGGCGAGGATGATATATAAATACCTATAATGTAAGTCTTTATACACCTTTTTATATACCTACCTGCTATGTAAATATTTGCCTATGTCAAACGTTGGAATTCTGTAATTTTTCCATTTCTTAACTTTCAGTCAACATAAATTAAACTCCCAATATAAGTATTTTTTATCCCAAATCAAAAAAATAAGAAGATAGTAAAATCCATTTATTGTGATATAAAAACATTATTATTATCGTTCTAAATAAATGACCGCACGCCTATTATACGTCATGAAATTACAAAGGACGCGCCGACCAAAGGTTTTTATGCTATTTCAAGTGACTTCAGATAAAGTATACATATGACTGTTGGTGTAATGGTTTGAGGGACTATTGCCTATAATATAACTGCAACGCGTATGTTGATGATGTTCTACAAACCACTCTACTGCCGTATCTAGAGGGCCGTCCACACGTCCTTTTTCAGCAAGACAACGCACGTCTCCATATTGGTCGTCGTATTACGGACGAAAGCAGGCGTTAATGTTTTGTTGTGACCATCCCGTTCACCGGATTTAAATCCCATCGAACATCGGTGGGATACGATGTGGAGGAGACTATCCATTTTGCACCATCCGCCACAGACTCTGCCGCAGCTAATCCACGAAGCTGCTTGGAATGAAGTGCAAGAACCAGACATCGATCATCTTACTTTGTCGTTGCCTAGCCGTATACAGGGTGTCCTTAATGATATGCGAATATTTAAGGATGCGAATCTATATGAAAAATTAATGTTAATTTGTTTTGTAAACTATGGTCCAAAAATGTTTCCTTACAAAAACTCGGGATGTTGAGATTTCAGGAAAAAAATGGAAATTAATGAATATTTTCAAAACCGCTTCAGATATTTCACTCATATTTAGTACGTAGTGAAAGTTAATAGAGCTGCATATTTTTCAATGCTAAAATAATTTTTAGCTTCAACACTGGCGTGCCAACAGTTTTTTGTCAAATAAAAATTATTTTTGAATCCCCCGTTCAATTTAAAACAAATGATCTCTATTGAGTTGCATATCATTAAGGAACACCCTGTATAGGAGTGTATTCATCTGCGGGGTCGCCCAACATGTTATTAATTTTTTTCTGATTACTTGTCAAATAAATTTTTTGAGAATGTTATCGTTTCATTCTTGATGTAAAATTACCTCATTGCCAAAAAATCAAATTGAATAAATTATTTTTTCTGGGCGTAACACTTCTAATATCACTCAGTATATTTATCAGGGGCCAATGTATGCCAAACTTAATCTGTTTTATGAACTGATGACAGCCTTGCGTGGAAAGCATAGAGTCAACCTACTTGACGCCGTTTGTCAACTACTTGCTAGCATGAAATATACGGTGTATAATCAGGACTTAGGCGGTACCGAAATAAAGCAAATATCGAGTTATCAGAATATATTAAAAATATGACAAAGTCGTTATTGCATTTTTTAAAAGGACTAATATATACAATAATCAATTTTAGTCAGAGATTTTTGTGTAGCAACACATAAATATAAAACGTTAAAATTAGAAGTACTATAAGAAATATAGGCACATAGATCATCATTCTACACTCTAAGTGACAGATGGGTATTATTTGGGTAAAATAAAAAACTCTTCGATTCTTTCCTAGCAAACAGTGATGTACACCTAGGACTAACAAAAGTTACAGTCATGTGCAAAAAACTTAGATTGAACCTTCATATTTTTGTATATCTTTCGACACACGAATTTGCTCACTAGATTTAGATTACCCATAAAGCTTTCAAATAAAATTGATGTATTGGCTCACAGATGTTCTTATATTTGTTTAAAATCAAAAGTAGTAGTGTATTTTCTTTTTTTTTTAAAAATGACAAATGCATCTTTAGAATGAACGCTTTAGGGAAAATTTTTGACAGAACCCATGAGGTTTTCTTTCAGTGCTCTCAAGATAATTAAAGAGGTTTAGAATAACAACTAAATCTAACGATTCGGTTAATAATTTGTGGCAGAACAAAAGATAATTGAAAAACACCAGGCCGAAGTGAATATAAAATACAGTTTGATGTTGATCAAACTGTACTAATTGTATCACCATATTGTGATGGCACTAGGATACGAAGACAACACATTGAATTCCACACAAAAAAAAACACACATCAACTGGCGCAAGTTTCTATTTCCTGTAATTTCTCACTTCGATCATCACCGGATTGGTGGTTCCAGAGTTATATCTTCTTTCTTCGTAGTAGTTCCTTGTCGGGGTACTTCCCCTGAAGTGACTCTTGGTGACCGATTTCAACTCGCTAGACTGGATGGTTTCTACCGACTTTCCATCTTTGGACGGTATGGTTTTCTTAGAAAAGCTCTTGGTCGTATCGGTGATGCTGGGTCGGACTGGATCATCATTTCTGGTGGTGGTGTGGTAAGTTTCAGAAAAGTCCGTACTGGAGCTGCTGCCTCTTCTTACAATGGACTGGCTGGGCGACAGGCTGTCTCTAAGCCTCGTTGGTGGCTCATAAATGTTCCCATTGCTATACCCCTTACCATTTCTCACAGGCGTACTGTAGGTGTTTGGCTTCCAGTACTCGGGAGTCTTCTCTCTGAAACTGGACAAGAACCCTCTCTTGGAGTCCACGTAGTCACTGGTACCGTTTCTCGCGAAACGGGAAGTGTATATATCGTCGCCGTTCAAATCCTTGTGGCTCCTATTCAGGCTCGAGATCAGTCCAGGACTCTTCAGCCCGATCCCCGAGTCTTCCAACTTGTTCAGATGCGGGTTGCTCGTGTACATGTTGTTCCTCTGACTCTCCAAACCAGCTTGGACGTTGAAACTCTGACTCCTGGATAAGTTCGACTTGTACGTTCGAGCAGGCTTCGCAGGTCCTTCTAGCTTCCTCGGCGTATTGATGATGGAGATGTTGATGGTGCTGTTAGATCGAGTACCCAACTTCGAAGGCGAGTCGCTCTGCTTGTGGAGATGTCTAGGCAACGTCTGCGAACTCCTGTTGTCCGCCACGGAACTGTTCACCAAGCGACCCGTCGACTTACTGAACCTACCGAGAGTACTCTGGGATCTGTAACAAACGAACGATGGTGGGGTTATTTGACAAATATGGCAAGAGAGGAGATCGGGAGCGAATGCTAACCTACACTTTTCACCATAAAAAATGGATTCATAATCGACCGCGTAGGAAGTGGATAATAATATAAAAATGCGTTGGAGGTAACTCCAGGTTTTTTATATAGATCAGTCACTTTAGATAGAAACTTTGGCTATGGATCTTTAATTGTCTACTATCAGGTATTTCATCTTTCACATATTGAATATTGGTTTAAACATTTAGTAATTTTTTACGTAACTGACTATAAAATACACCATTTTAATAAGTGAGTATGTTTTTGTACGATTGCAGGTAGGAGTTCCACATATTATGTCTAATAAATTTCTCTAATTCTTATCAATTTGCAAAAAAGCTACTTAGCTCAGCAACGATCCAGTTTCTCAGCTTACCGGTACATAACTTGCTGAATTACATACGACTGTATGTTTCATAACTAATACAGTATTATGATGTTTTTCAAAAAAGTTGTCTATATTGAAATGTGCCTATTCATGTTCACAAAATTGTGGCCCTTTTAATTCCTCTTTGTCACGAATACGCTATAATAATGGTTAGGTAAATATGTAATTCTTAATATAGGCGTAAGGATGATTACTAAAAATATTTACTTTGCAATATTAAATTAAGTTTATTTTCACCTAGGATCACCTAACGCGCTCTATCAGATATGCTCTAGAATTTCCATTATGAGCTACAATTTGGCTTGGCGATTATTAGATCTTTATAGTCGTAAATCTGTAAGATTTCAAATATTCTGTCTATATCAACAAATTCTACTATACAAACCGCTGGTGCTAGACGAAATCTGGCAACGCCGTCGTGTTTGTCGACTCCCCCACTACCGATCCCAACAAGAAGCGCCTATTAGAAATTAGAATAGAAATGCATTGCCAATTTTTTCAAATACAAGGTATTTTTGTGTTTAAATTGAAGCTACACGTTATAGTGTGTTCAATGCTACGATGCCTGGACTAACAATGCAAAATTGTCATCTATAAAAACAATCTGAATTTGTCATACAGCCAAATTTGGCCTCCTCGCCTACTTCAGTGCTAATCAACCTGATTAAGATATTTTTTTTTGTAGTTGCTTTCCCATTGGAATTTGAAAGGTAATGAAACCATATAAAGCCTGTTATAATTTTATTAATGAATTATAATCGTAAACCTTCATAAATAAATATATATTAGTAATATCACTAATAATAAATACACAACAAGGCTACATTTGAAAGATTTATAACTACTAAATAGCAGGAAGGTAACACATGCATCTCAGGTTAGTAATTACAAAAAAGGAGAGAAGGACTTGTATGGCTTATACAGGGTGATACTACATCAATAACTGCTTGTAATGGTATTTTAATGAAATACGTAAAAAATACTTTTTGAAGTATTTTTTTACGGAAGCAAATTTTGATTGATTTTTTAAAAAAGTATTACATTCTAAGTTTGCTTGTTGTTTGGTGAAGATTTACTTGGCATTAATGCTACAATATCAATTTTGTATAACTGTTCGTTTACACATTTTTTTGCATCCATTTTCTGTACATTTTACATTCTTGTCTATTAAAATTACAACACTATGCATTTTGAGTATTCATAAAGTGATTTTTCAATTTCACCTTAAACATTTTTAAATTCGAACTCCGTTTAATATCATTATTCAGCTTATTAAATTCAAATACTCTTTTTTGAAATACAGATTATAATACTATTATAATTTTGCTTACGAAAATCTATACTGCCTCTAGTTTCGTATTTTCGATAATGACTATTTACTGATCTTTTAATTTCAATACGAAGATGAGAACTAAATAACTTTAGTTTTTTACATTCAACCACTGTAGTGCTTCTAGCATAGACTTAATCCTAGCATATTTCATTATTTCTGCAGTGATTTTCCTTTTTAAACTTTTAAAGTTGCTCATTCAAGTAACTAAGAAAATGAGAGATGGACGAAAGAAACCGAATCTGACTATTTGAGATAGAATTTCAAAATAAGAAGTACATTAACATTGCCATAACTTAAATGTTGAAAAATGCCAAAACCGTGGCGAAAATATCGCGAATGCGATCAATATGAAATTTGAGTTATTTCGAAGCCAAGAACCTCGCTTGTACGCCCTGATCCTTTGGTTGATTTTCACCATACATCACAGCTAAGTTATTTATTCATTAACTATATGTATTTTGTATATCTGTACTATAACCCTGTGCAAACCATTACTACAAGGAATTCCGATCAGAGTTCAACAACTACTGCATTTCCATATAAGCTGAATTCCTTCTGAAGAAGTGACATCATCAACCTGTATAACGGCCTTTACTTATACAGAAATGCCAAGATCTCGGACCAAGGTCAGCCGTTACTATACTACTCTACGTAGTTAGTATTGTTTATGTCTTTCATGTTGCCGGATAGGAATTATTTTAAATTTTAACTGCTTTATGTTCACGATTCAGATTCTTATGAAAAAAAGTATTTTACGAGTTCCTGGATTTCTTATCTGAATTCCAGTTAGTTTAATTGAGCATTTGTGGCATACTACCTTAAACTGTTGCCACAACAAAAAAAAAGGAACATTTTTTAGTTATGATGTCGCACTAAACGCGAAATAATATCTTAGATTGCAGGTTTTATGTATTTACTTTTATTTAGTCGAATCCTCTTGAATCATACTTGATAATACATTTTTTACGAAAATGCATTCTGTGAAACAGAAAGTGCAGCGTGGGTTGTGCATGTTGAGATAAAAACGCTTGTATGGAATTTTCATCTTACTTGATTAGAAGTATTTGGTATAGAAGTTTCAGATAAATATGGTTCTTTTTGAAGATGGTTGTGCAAGTTTTGAACAAATGTGTAGTCTTATGTAATTTTTTTGACCGATATCTATAGTTTGTAAAATATGCCGTTCCATTGATTATGTAGGCATTTTTACGATTCTCTTAACCATCTTCCCCCCTGGTGAGATTCTACCCCATTCCCCAACCCTTTATCTCACGTGAGGTTTTTAAAAATTTTTGATTTCAGTTTAAATCTGTTGACATTTTTTAAGCAATTGTACTCAGTTTTTCGCGGGGAAAAGTTACGTGATATTTGTCGAGACTCCCTTTTTCCCGCGTGAGATTGGGTGAGATTCACCTCGACACCCGTTCCTCCTGAATACATCACGTAACGATAATACCATATCCAAATGATGTGATCTTGATTCCTGCCGTTGTATTGAAAAGGTGAGCAGCGCAGCTTGCTTCAGTTCTTTCGCGTCTCTTTCACATATGTTACGATTCCGGCACCTTCCCAGAATACTGGAAATTCGCTTATGTCCGACCCATCCCAAAAAAGGGATCTAAGACCGACCCTTACAACTGCAGGCCTATAGCTCTGCTTTCTGTTATAAGTAAGGTGGAGAGGTGCATAAATGGCGAGCTTCTGGACTACCTCGAACGTCAAGGCTTGATCTAGTCTTACGGTGAGGCTCATGTCGTTGCTCTTGATATCACGAAAGCGTTCGATCAGCAAACATGCATCCGATGGCCTACCAGAAAAGCTTTGCAAATAGGCGGCTGACTTTCTGCCTGTCCGCAATATGTCCATCGTAATAGACATCATTTATTATCGATGTTGTCCGATGACTCTTCTAACAGACAGTCTCGGGACCCTTTCGCACTGGCCGGCCGCCGGCGAACGGACGTTGCACCTCAGAGCTGTCCTCCATGATGCCGACGCGCGATGTGCCTGAGAGACATACCAGCCTGACTTCGGCCTCCCATATTAACCGTGTCGAACTTCGTACGCCCAGAACTGGCCAATACGACCGCTCCTCCTACAAGAGGAGTTTATAAATCGGATTGAGAAACTTTCTTTGGGATTCTCATAACAGCCCGGTTTCCTGGCATTTAGGCTTCTACCTGTGTGGCTGCTTCGGTATAAAAAAATGACATCTACTATCCAAGCTTTTTGGACGAAGTACCTCTGACGAAGAAGTGAAGACTGCATTTCGTCCTGAACATACTTTGAGGAACTCATGTAAAAGAGGCACAGCCTCGATTTTGACATGTCCTTTGATAAAAATGAAGACAGCACTGCAGTTTCAATCGGAAAATTAAAATTAATGCACGTGTTATAGCCCCGAAGAAGTTGTTGCTTTGCTAGTTTCATTAAAATTGACTGAAGGGAGTCACATTAAATTTCTTACCTACCATGATATGACATGAGCATTTCCTGGGACATTCACTCCATAAATACTGTCCATTGTTAAAGGGGCAGCTTTAATTCATAAAAGCTCACTCAACTATCCTTAGAATGGTTTCCATTGACAATTCAGATCAATGTTTTCGAAATGTGTACATTTCCAGACTATTTACCAAATCTATCGCTCTTCTCCAACAATTTTAATGAGATATCATCACCTCCCTAGCATATGGTCCGAGTTTGGCACCCAGTGCCTTGCACTTGTTGTCTAAGTTAAGAATATTTGACAGGACGATTTAGTTTTGACGTCGAGGTAAAAGACGAGGTACAAGTCTTCCCTAAGGAACTGGTGCCAGGCTGGTATGATAAGCAGATAGAAAAATTGACACAGAGTCTAAAAAAATACATCGATCGGATTGGCGATTATGTAAAAAAATAGACATAGGTCTTTTTAAGCTTCATAATGATGTATCGGTCAGATTTTTGTATTTAAAAGAATAGGAGACTATACTTTTGAAATAAGCATTGCCGGTTGGAAATTTTTCTATTGCTTGAAGTGCGTCCACTGATTAAAAAATGATTAGTCGGTCCAGTTTTTCTCTTAATTGCGAAGTAGCAAGCATGTTTAAAAATTTAGGACCAGTGACTATAAAATGATTCTGTATTATTATTGTTACGCTATATCAACTAGAAATAACGTAGTTATACATTCTAATAACTTTTCCAGGATATCTGAAACTGAGTACAATTTTTCGGATATGTGTTCCATGAGTTAATAATTTTGTCGAAATAACGCTTCATGATTGCACTTTGCAGATTGCTGAATGTGTTTAATAATTCCACGAAGTAAAACTCGGCATCATGAACGACACAAACAATAATCATGATAATATGAGTATTTTGGCATCAATAAACAAACATCTAAAATTGGAAGCATCCAGTACATGCAAATTGAACAAACATATTATTTACACATTTACTCTACATCCCAAAAAAGGAAAAGTATAGGAGTTATTCAAGTTATAAAAGATACTAATCTATTTAACTAAATCTCGACAATTTATAAAGTAGACGATATTCAACTACGTACTTTGTTAATAAAAGTAATAAGACTACATAGCACATGCACATCTGATACTCTTTTGGGATAATACAGCTACGTCTTACATACTATAGATTACTTTCCAAATGCATGAAATTACACGAACTGCGCAGTAAAGAAGGAAGTATTATTATTAATATTTCTGTAACACAACTTCTGAGTACGTCAAGGCGTATGCCATACGTTGAGATTGATCTAACCGCAACGTTGCCAAGTTGTGCTTGGTTATAGCTCGGTAGTTTTAGACATTCTTAAAGTTCGGAATATATTAAAAAATGTTAATTTTCGCGTCCAAAAAAGGACAATCATCTTCGGTATGATCCAATATTGGATGAAACGATCGCCATGAAGCCGAAAATGGCACGTTTTAGACGATCTGCTAGCACGCATTTGCGTTTGTAATATTTGTATACCTACAATACCCCGCCTAATATATTTTATCTCAACAATTAAAAAACCTATGAATACGCCTAAGCAGGTGCGAAAGACCGTTCCAAAAGCCTAAAAACGCGCTATATCACTTTTCAAAACGTCAATCGAAAGTATGAAAAAATCGAAAAGTGGCATATTGTCAAAAAACTTAAAAAAACCGAAACTTTTGAACGGAAAGGAATAAAGAAATAAAAAAAACGCGTTCCAAATCTCCGATGTCTGGGCTTTCTTCCGCAAAAATCGGTAGGTCCGTAGCTCCGTTATCTGCGGAGGAGATAGATGTTGAATTTCGAAAAGCACTTTTAAGGAACAAAAAGCCAATTTTCCATCGTTTGAAAACTTTTTGTTCGAAACGGAAAAACTCTCTCTCAGTAATTTATAGTATTCATCGAGATATACAAAATGCGCTATGCGAAATTTCTTTTCTCTGTGCCGTAGAGAAGTTATCGGCTTTTTAACAAAAAAAATGGGATTTTTCTTTTTTTTTCTTTGAATATTTCTAGAAAAAAACTAAGATGCGGATTAAAATAGGACCCGGAAAATACGGATCACCTATCATTTAAGCTATCTAAGGCGACTAATCTCGAGTGGATAATTTGAGAAATGACGGAAAGGTGACGTCTTTCTGGCGTACGGGGTCCTCATACGGCGATAGTTCGTACTCGCTCGTAAAGCGCCGAATGTCTAGTTTCCGAAACGGTATAATTTTCTAATAAAACTCATCAGCAACAGGAAAAAAATGAAGAACGTCCCCGACGTCGAAACAGCCTGATCCAGACTTGAGAGGGGAGGTGGAAAAAAAACAAAAAGTCACCGCTTAATATTTTAGAATCATTGAAGTTATATTCCTAATTCAAAATTCGGATGTATCAGCAACATCCGTTAAACTGCAAAAACTACCAAATTTCCATTGCGCAATTATATTGTATGAACTTACATTAACCAGCTTAGCTACCAATATGTTAAGATCTTTGTACATGGTATAACAATTTCATGTCTTAGTAGCGCAGGATTGATAAACGCGATGTTTGATATTTCCATATTTATCATTACGAAATAATAAACTTGTAGATACAGTACTGTACAATTCGTGTAAATTCAAAAACTATTGTTTTTGCTGCCACTTTTAAATACCAAACAGTACATTGTATTCAGTCACGTTCAAGTATAACATTTGAAGAAAAAATAGCTGCACTATGAAAACTGTGTGAGTATATTCCTGTTGTTATTATGTTAATCGCTAAATGTGATACGCATGGTACCCAAAAGTGGCAACCTACACTCAGCCCAGCGTTCCATATCCCTTCCTTTTATCCTCCAAAGCCTGCACAACCTCTCCAGTTCCCTCCGCTTACCTCCTTTCGTCTCCAGGATGACTCCCGTTTGTTTGACGTTTTGAACTTCTTGCGGGTCGTACCACACCATCGTACTTATTCTCCCTGCCATAAATACTGCCGGCGAAGGGATCCTCACCTAGATAGTACCTAGAATCAAAAATGAAAACTATTTAATCTTGGAATACAATTCGCATTTAAAATTTTTAAAAATTGAATTTTGGGATTTGAAAAAAAAAAAACGGATTTGAAAGTTTGGGAAACAGTTGGAAAATTCGGTAATAAATATGAAATTTTGGAGATTTAGAAAAAATGGAAATACCGAAATTAGAAAAAATTGTAAATATTGAAAATTTTACAGCAATTTGGATTTAAAAATTGGGGAAAAACGTGGGAACCTTGAAAATACATTATATCTGGAAAAAAATGAATATTTTGAAAATAGTAAGTAGTAAGTAGTAAGTACCTTTGTTGCCGTTTTTCTACTAAGATTTTAGAAAATAAATTATGCTATCAGAAAGCCAAAAAACAGGTTTTAATAGCAAATCGAACAGAATACATTTAATATCAAGCACTCCACGCTTTTTCACTATAACTAAAAAAGATTTTTTACGTTGATTTTCTATTCGAGCCTGTTTTTTAAATTATGATTTATTCTACCGCATGTCTCAGTCACACATAACGTGCATCATATTACCTCACCTCACGCACCAGTCTTCTGGTCTCGTAATATGTCCCGATTCAACCTTAAACGTTACTCTTATGGTTCAGACTTGCTAGTAGCTTGTTTTGTTGTCCTGATGTAAATTGTTGTTAAAGGCAATTAGAGTTGAATCGGAGAGTGCAAAAATCTCGTAAAAAATGTGTCACTGACAAATAAACCAGTTCTGAAGTACTTTTTGGGATTAATGCTGTGTTCCAAAAGGTTGGAATTTTTTGTTTGTTGAAGCTTTATTTACCATTAGTGGTACAATGCCAATTTTGTATAACTTAATTACATCACTATGTACTTTGAGTATTCATAAAGTGATTTTTTAATTTCAACTTAAGCATTTTTAAATTCGAACACTCCCTTTTGAAATACGGACTTCCTAGTTTTGCTACTATTACAGTTTTGCAGATGAAAGTCTATTCTGCCTCTAGTTTCGTAGTTATGATAATAACTATCTAAATTTGTTAAGTTTTCCAAATGTGGTGGTAATTTGAGTATGAAAATGAGAACTAAATAATATATGAAATTTTTTTACATTCAGCCACTGTAGTTCTTCTAAAATAGGCTTAATCGTAGCATATATGTCTTTATTTGAAATGATTTTCATAGCTTTATTTCGTAGAATTTGTAATTTTGAAAATATGCTGTGAGCAAGATGGTTGAACAATATAAAATGTGGGGATGAATTATAGTGTTATACACAATTTTTTTGGAATACATACTAAGATTGTGGGAAACTCTATAAAAGTAATTTATCCTTTCTGATATTTTTGAAAAAATGTAATTATACTCGTCCACATAAAATATATACCCAGATATCCCAGACTTCGAAGTTGAGTCATTTATTTTAACAGTGAGTAGATCTGATCAAAAGAAATATTTTTTTCCTTTACCATTTTTCTGGTAAAATTAAAGTAACAAAGTTATAGCCCTTTGGAAGTTTGAGTACCGCCCTGTCTCAATAATATTATGTGCTCGTGTTTGGCAACAACGGATATAATCCGCCTTATCGGTTCATCGCATCGGAAACAAAAAAGCGAAAGAATTTGGAACGATGTTTTTACAATTATTTTATTCAGTTGTATACAGTCAGTGTCAGTCGGTAACGCGTGAGTGAATAGTGGTGTCTGTTGCGTGGCTCAAACGAAATAAAAAATGGCACATGTTTATGCGGATCGGTTTCCCAATCGAGTGCAACCAACCCCTCGTGCCTTTGTTAATGTAGTACAACGGGCTCGTGAATCAGGTGACTTAAGACCTCACAGGGGACGGCATGCCGGTGCTCCAAGACCTCACGATCAAATACAGGTCCGCACTGAAATACTTGTCGGGAGGATACTTTATAAAACAAGGTAATTTTTTTTTAATATTTTTTATTTTTACACACATATTTTGGTTTATCTTCCTTCTACAATCATTATCTGAAAATTAATGACTCAACTTCAAAGTCACCCTGTATAGATGATTCGACTTCTTCAATTTTTCTATCATTAATAATGAGTCTAATTGTACAGACACATGTTTCCCTATTGAGATACATTTTGTTTTGTTAGTGCTCAATTTAAGTTTATGAATATTTAACCAATTCATTTTTTTTAATATCACAATTTAATAGTTCTAAAGCAGTAACCAAATGTATATGGGATTACTCCCTTGTAGCACCTCTACTGATATATTTCGAACGCTTGACATATTTCCAACTTTCGATTTCTGACTACTATTTACCAAATAATTTTGTAAAATTTTTAATACCAATCCTTTAAAACCATATTGATATAATTTCATTAATAATTTTTCCCTATATATAATCTCAAATGCTCTAAAAATACTGTTACAATACTTATTCTTATCTATACTTCTTCTCCAGTTTTCAAACACCATTTGGATTGCTATTTCTGTAGAATAATTTTTTTTAAATACAGAATGATTTTTTGTCAAATTTTTGTTTTCTTCAATGAATTCAATGATTTGTTCGTATATTCGAACGGCTTGCCTCAGCAATAACGGTGGAACACTTTAATTTTGACGGGAATTCACCATGTACTAAACAATGATTCACCAATAATAATAATTTCTCTCCAATTATATTGAAACAATCATTCAGAATTTTATTCGACAGATTCTAGTGATTTTTGCATCGAGTCACTTATTCTGCTTACCTTTGTACAGGGCGTTCGCTTGAATGTCCATTAGTACTTCCATTGTTGCCGATGTTACTGTCTATCACATGTCCTGGTTGGTACGAGGGGCTTGGAGACCTTTTGGCGCGCTGTTGCCGAGCTTTGCGTTCAGCTGATGCTGAGCGGATCTTGCCTACGAGTTTGCGGATGGACTGGCCTGGAAGAATAAATATATGTATAAATACTGGTATGTCAGGCACATCAAAAAGTGATTCAAAGTAGTACCTGCATCAAGCAGAGCGAAGTTGGGTGGTTTGAAGAAAAGTGAAATCTGAATATCAATTCGTAATTGTATGTGATTGACTGTTTGTTCTTCGTTAGCGTTGAATGTTGTATAAAGTCAAAGAGAAATAAGGGAAGAAGACAGAAAGAGAGAGACAAATATAAGAAATTGAGATTATCAGAGTGGTCTTCTGGTCGTATGGCATCGTAGACTAGCATGGAGGAACAAGCTGATCTAGTAATTTGGTTCTGAATTTAGTTTTGAATGGTCTAACTCATAGTTTTATTTTTTTTGCGTCGCGAATCGTGCCAGAACGTGTTGACATTGTGGGATGAAGACGAGAACCCGTCAATTAGGATGGATATCTTGCGGTCAGAGACGAACTCTGCCACCCACCTGTACAGCTTCTTTGGAAAGTTTGCATAAAAAGTTGATTCAAGATCACAAACTGAACAGAATACGTTGGCTGGCATAGAAATCGCGTCCCGCAATCTGCAAATTTCCACGAAAGCAATATTTCTAAACGTTTGCTACCTCATTCACATGATCTGCAAATAACTTCAGTTCGTGTCCGATCTTTCCAGTAATCGTTTCCAGTACTGAAGCTGTTCATCGTTTAGGATTGCATTTGTGAATGATAAAAACGACTACTGACATCATATACTTGCAATGTGCTTTGAAATTTAAATATTCATCTAAATATGCTCCCAAAAATTTAGAGTTGTCATGGTCCTAGACCTCTTTGTCATTTAACCTGATATTCATATTATCTAAGTTCTTTTGTACATTGTGAAATCTTACCACAGCAGTCTTCTCTGAGTTTAAAAATAGTTGGTTTTGTGCAAACCATTTTTCAAGATGTTTCAAAATGTCGTTAATTTTAGTGACCAGTACATTATCGTGAGGATCTGAAATTATAATTGAGGTAACGTCTGCATACAATATAAAATTTACTTGGCCATTGAACAGTTCATCCAGATTATTTATATACAGTATAAATAAAAGAGGTCCTAATCTATATCCTTGGGGAACTCCCATATCAATATCAACGCATGAAGACAGGACTTGCTTTATTTCTGTACCATAATTGTGTAATAAAGAAACATGTTGTGACCTATTTTCCAACAAAGATTTGATCCATGTGAGAGATCTGTCAGTAATTCCGTAACCATGTAGTTTTTCAAAATATTTCACAATTAACACAGTCAAATGCTTTGCTGAGATCACAAAAGATCTCAACAGGACACTCGACAGCCTCAATCACATCAATTAGTTTTCCACAAAATGAATATATACTAAGTGACATATAAATCCGAACACCCAGTTTAAATGGTTCTATTTTAATAAAATTTTGTATAAGTACTTACTGAAGCATAATAAGTAAATGATAAAAATTTCAAAGTGATTGCACTGTTTTAAAGCCCTTTGACCTTCAATAATGTGTGGATGCACCCTGATGTGCTACGCATTCTCCAACGCGCCTAGGCATGCTTCTGATCAGGTGATCAATGTCCTCCTGTGGTATCTCATTCCAGGCAACCACCAACTCCTCTCGAAGTGCTTCTAGAGTCTGAGGAGGACGTTGCAAATTGAGCAATCTGCTACCCATCATATCCCACACGTGCTCAATTGGGGATAAGTCGGGAGATCATGGTGGCCATGGTAACAATGTGACATCATTATGTTGAAAGAAGTCTATTGTGACTCTTGCAACATGTGGTCGGGCATTATCTTGTTGGACAGTTGGATCTGCCAGGGTGTCAAGATAGGGTAAAAGATGGGGTTCTAGAACTTCGTGGATATAACGCTGCGCGTTCATGTTACCTCTGATGAAGATTAAAGGTGACCTGGCACCATAAGCTATAGCACCCCAAACCATAACTCCAACAGTGTGATGAACATGTCTTTTAACAAAAAACTGTGGATTCCTCCTTTCACCACGTCGCCTTCTAACCCTGACACGACCATCGTGCATGCCTAAACAAAATCGAGACGCGTCACTAAAGACAATACTGTTCCATTCCTGATCCCAGAGTGACCGTTGTCTGCACCTCTCAAGGCGATTACGTTGGTGTTCTCGAGTTAAAGGGAGGACCCAGTGTGGCCGATATGAAAACAAGCCAAAACTTCTCATTCGTCGGTAAACACTTCGCATGCCAATAGGTCTTCCGTGTTCTGCAAACCATTCATTTGCAATGGACCTGGTAGTGGAGAAACGGTCCCTTAAGGCCAATAATCTTAGGCGGCGATCTTCACGGTCTGTTGTTCTACGGCGGCGTCCAGTGCCCCTTGCTCTTTGCGTACGGCCTTCTCGAAGCCATGCCTTACAACACCTAACCACAGTGTCTACACTTCTTTGCACTCTAACAGCAATTGCCCGAAAAGAAAGTCCAGCTTCCCGAAGTCCCACTATACGGCCCCTATCAAACTCACTAAGTTGACGAAATCGTACAGGTCTCCGTACTCTAGGCATCGTAACCGATCGTAAAGGATGTCAAGAACCAAAATCTGCCAACGTTGATTCTTTACTGCGGCTGAAATATTCATTTTTAGAGCGTTAGTGAATTAAAAAAAAGCAGTATAAAAACCAGAATGTCCAACTGATAAGGCTGAAAATTTTTTCACTTGTTGTTTACAGTAAGATAAATACATTCACCAACTTTTATTAAAATAAAACCATTTAAACTGGGTGTTCGGATTTATACGTATATGTCACTTAGTATATTAATGCTCTTTTTACTACAAAGGTGTAAGTCAAATAATACTTCTTCCAGCTAGCACGCGCATAGAAATCATTTCTCAAATATAATCCTTTCAAACAGCAAGCTTTTTTCTTAGTCTGTATCAAAACAAAGAAATATAGTATGATAATTGCATCCTACGTCAAGCGACAAGTAATACGATACGACTGCTGGGTATGCCTCTAAATAACTTCAACCTATGAACAGTGTAAATAAACAATGTTTTATCTGCATGCAAAAACAATAGGTGTACCAATTTAACATTCGCAACTTGTAAATCACAATAACCATGATAATTTTACGCATTGATTACCATAAGGAATTAGCAAATATAGTCAAGCACAACCTGTTCCTTGGAATGTAACCTGAAACTTGAGCGTGGGCACAGACTGTATTGTCCAGCATGTTGACGAAATTCATAACGAATTTATCTACCTCCACTACATATACTAAGTGACATATAAATCCGAACAGCCAGTTTAAGTGGTTTTATTTTAATAAAATTTTGTATAAGTACTTAATGAAGCATAATAAGTAAATGATAAAAATTTCAAAATGATTGCATTGCTTTAAAGCCCTTTGACCTTTAATAATGTGTGGATGCACCCTGATGTGCTACGCATTCTCCAACGCGCCTAGGCATGCTTCTGATCAGGTGGTCAATGTCCTCCTGTGGTATCTCATTCCAGGCAACCACCAACTCCTCTCGAAGTGCTTCTAGAGTCTGAGGAGGACGTTGCAAATTGAGCAATCTCCTACCCATCATATCCCACACGTGCTCAATTGGGGATAAGTCGGGAGATCTTGGTGGTCATGGTAACAATGTGACATCATTATGTTGAAAGAAGTCTATTGTGACTCTTGCAACATGTGGTCGGGCATTATCTTGTTGGAAAGTTGGATCTGCCAGGGTGTCAAGATAGGGTAAAAGATGGGGTTCTAGAACTTCGTGGATATAACGCTGCGCGTTCATGTTACCTCTGATGAAGATTAAAGGTGACCTGGAACCATAAGCTATAGCACCCCAAACCATAACTCCAACAGTGTGATGAACATGTCTTTCAACAAAAAACTGTGGATTCCTCCTTTCACCACGTCGTCTTCTAACCCTGGCACGACCATCGTGCATGCCTAAACAAAATCGAGACTCGTCACTAAAGACAATACTGTTCCATTCCTGATCTCAGAGTGACCGTTGTCTGCATCACTCAAGGCGCTTACGTCGGTGTTCTCGAGTTAAAGGGAGGACCCAGTGTGGCCTGTATGAAAACAAGCCAAAACTTCTCATTCGTCGGTAAACACTTCGCATGCCAATAGGTCTTCCGTGTTATGCAAACCATTCGTTTGCAATGGACCTGGTAGTGGAGAAACGCTCCCTTAAGGCCAATAATTTTAGGCGGCGATCTTCGCGGTCTGTTGTTCTACGGCGGCGTCCAGTGCCCCTTGCTCTTTGCGTACGGCCTTCTCGAAGCCATGCCTGACAACACCTAACCACAGTGTCTACACATCTTTGCACTCTAACTGCAATTGCCAGAAAAGAAAGTCCAGCTTCCCGAAGTCCCACTATACGGCCCCTATCAAACTCACTAAGTTGACGAAATCGTACAGGTCTCCGTACTCTAGGCATCGTAACCGATCGTAAAGGATGTCAAGAACCAAAATCCGCCAACGGTGATTCTTTACTGCGGCTGAAATATTCATTTTTAGAGCGTTAGTGAATTAAAAAAAAAGCAGTATAAAAACCGGAATGTCCAACTGGTAAGGCTGAAAATTTTTTCACTTGTTATTTACAGTAAGATAAATACATTCACCAACTTTTATTAAAATAAAACCATTTAAACTGGGTGTTCCGATTTATATGTCACTTAGTATATATACGTAAATATGTAGGGTGCCCCGATTTTTGCTATAAAACCGCACCATCATAAAAATATTATCAACAGTGAGAAGAACACACACTACCCTGTCTGAAATATGCAGCCCAATGCTGATACGATTCACTAATAGGGTGCATTTGGAAAATGTTTAGCCAATATATCTAATAGACCGTCGATGTTTTCCCTTAATTCTGTGTTATGTAAAAACCTTAAAAACGTAAAAAAAACGACAAAATGTCATCTTACGGACTAGGTAGTTTCCAGTGTGTAAATAGTTCCTTCCACGTTTGCTCCCAATAAACGCTGTGAGCGCCATCTATGGGGAATGACTCAACGACACGACATGCATTGATGGTTGCAGAAAGCCGAGTAGTCTGTGTAGTGTTTATCTCTGTGAAGATGTGAAAGCCAGAAAGTTGGTTGAGTAGCGAGATCGTATCTGATTGATTATGTGTAAAAACCTACGTATACATAGCTAGAACAGTATTCTGGATGTTCAAAAGACAAGGAATTTAGTTTCTTACCAAATTGTAGACGACACCTCCTTAATAGGGCATTCAATTTTCCCTCCTTATACTTCAAGCATGATCAAGGTGTCGAAAAAACGTAAAAGGCCTTTTTGTACCAAACTTTATTCTCTACAAAGAAATAGTACTGTTTTATACTTATCTGTTGACTATACGACAAATTTTTATAGAAGCAAAACGACAAAATTGTTGGCGACGCCTTCTTAATATGGTATTCAACCGAATACAAAAAACTGTAAAGAAGTCAGGTCACCTTCACGTATTTTTGATGCGACAGTGGCGTAAACAAAAAACATATTTACCTATAATGTTTCCGCTTTTATGCGGCTTTGTGGGTGTTGTATCTATGGCGAATCTGGTTTTCTGCGTGTGCTTTTTGTCGACTGGCATAGGCGGCGGGCTGGGCGGGGAATAATCGGGGGGTGGTTCTTCCAGACGTTCCATTTTCTGGTCGCGCACGTCTCGGTAATCTTCCGTCCGGGAGCTTCTGTAACCGCTGTCGTACCTAAATTAAAAATGTTGCATAAATAAACTGAAAATTATAGTCTATGAGATAAAGCTGGACCTTTGAGGGAACAGAATATGAATATTTAGCGAGACATACGGTACTCGGCAAGTAACTGTGCCATTCAACCAGAAGAAAAAACTGATATTTCAAATCAGCTGACAAATTTAAGGGTTCCAAGCAATGGGTTCATTCATTCTTTTGTTTATTTAAACCTACCTTGAAAATTGGTTTAAAAAATTCGCCTAAATCAACAGTACTCTACCGCAAAAAAATATTATTCTGGTGTACCACAAGGATCTGCGTTCGGGCCCCTGTTCTTTTCATTATATACTCCAGATTTATAAAGAGAGGTTAGGGCCTGCAGCATACAATTTTTGGCTGACATACTCAGATATTCTATTCATTTAGGAGTAATGACTTGGAGACAGCTAATAATACAATTGCTTGCCCAAATTGGCAAAAAGGCACTGACGCAGCCCTTTGCTGGAAAATTGATGACTACGTTTTTTTGGGAATCAAGGTATTCTTTCTCATAGAATATATGCCAAACGGGAGAACAATAGATGCGGACGTCTATGAGAACGTAACAAGATCAACAAAAAAAGACCCGATGGCTCCAATCGACAGGTGCCTCCGTTGCATAGTAATGACTATGTAGATTTATTTTCTAATAACCCTCGTATATGTGAATCAGTTAAAACTATAGCTTACCTGCTCCTCTCTTCCACCACCCTCTGCCGTTGCTTCTCGCTCTTCTTTCTCTGGGGCGGGGTAGGCACGATCACCTCCTTCCGCGGCGAAATGCTCCGCCCATAATCAGGGGTGGGGGAATGTCGTCTGTAGTCCGGAGATGGCGAATGCCTCACGCCGCGATAATTCGGGGAGTGGCGCGGCGAAGGAGGGGAATAACGGTAATCGGGCGATGGAGATTGACGTGGTGGGGGGTGGTGATCCGAAGCGTAGTGTGGGTGGTGACGATAAGGTGACGGAGAGGGAGAGATACGGTCAGAGGAGTAACGATTGTCGTGGCGGCGTTCCGACCACTCGGAGATGCCTGCAAATAGATGTTATGTTGAGTTAGACATGGAACATTCTATGAATACTGGCAGTTACAATTTACAGAATAATGTAGATACTGTAATTGACGGAGTTGAGTAAGCATGCATGATATCCCACCAACATCGTATATGACTGAATCTATTGTTTAATGGCAAGACGGCCACAGGAGATCGACAAACAAGTCGTGAGACTAGTGTCTTAGCACTTGTAGCAAACTCAGTTATTTATACAGGGTGATTTACAAGTCGTGACCAAAAATGAAACATATACACAACCGCATTTTAAGAGGGGTATTTTATGTAACATTTTAGTTTAGATTAGTCTCATTCTAGGATTTATGTTATACTTGGATGTTCCGCTAATACTGATGTTGTAAGGGCAGTGCTTTAATTGAACCAACTAATGAACCCATCACCATGAAGCAGGATTATCTGTGCAGGTGTGAAACTGCGTCTACAGAAAACAGACCATCTATTAATCTGTCATGCATATGGAATCGTGCAAACATTAACCTTTGTAAAATACTGCATGATCCCTCTCCCTCTCTGGCTCCACTGGACTGTACACTCTCGCGCTATACGCATTTTGAGGAACTGCCTCGACACTCGGTTGCGATTTGATGGTCACATTAAAGAAACTAGTTTTCGGCGGTGCGCTTTCCTCATCATCGTCGATGATAGAGTTGTTGGACGATTTCGAATCGCTACCGAAGTGATGCTCCAGCCATTTGGAGGTTTCTACCTTACGGGTCTCTTCTTCTTGGTCAAAATCCAGGGGTCTACGGGTTAAAGCATCTTTCCGATCCAGGGGCGAAGCGACGCCGTTCTCTACACCTGGAGGGTGTCAAACGGGGTTGATAAGGTATCGTGACCTCGCGCGGTCTCATAAAACCCTTTTTAATTTTGATTTTGTTCGATCAGAAGGTGAAGATTCGTAGACTTTGAGACAATGTGATTGTCAGTTTGCAACAAAGCTTTTTCTGTTTAAACAAATTTTTGATGCAATTGTAGCACATGCATATTTTGAAAGTCACTGAATGCGGATTAGATTTTTTAATAAATTTTTTTATAATTTGTAATGAAAAATGAATGCTCAGAGTATAGGTTGTTACAGCGCCATCTATGGGACACTAACCTTCCCAAATTATACAGGGTGTCTCAGCCGTACAAGGACGGGGCATTGCTCCTAAACATGAACTACACAGAAAACTATTAATGGATTATTATACAGGGTGTTCATTAAGTTGAGTTTTACAGACGATTCTTTCAGTAAGTTAAAGAAAGAAAGTTCGTATTGACACAGGTCCGCAGACTCTTCCTTCTCAGGATACAGGGTGTTAACGTTTGAAATAATGGTTTTTCGTAAATTTCTTAAATATCCTCTATCTAATTTTGTTGTAATTTGGAGGTGGAATTTATAACATCAAAGAGCTAATTTAGCGATTATTTGATTCAATTTATTAAGACCATTGGCGCATCAAGCGGGATCTGAACGAATATACTAAGAGACATATAAATCTGAACACCCAGTTTAAATGGTTTTATTTTAATAAAAGTTGGTGAATGTATTTATCTTACTGTAAATAACAAGTGAAAAAATTTTCAGCCTTATCAGTTAGACATTCCGGTTTTTATACTGCTTTTTTTTATTCAGTAACGCTCTAAAAATGAATATTTCAGCCGCAGTAAAGAATCAACGTTGGCGGATTTTGGTTCTTGACATCCTTTACGATCGGTTACGATGCCTAGAGTACGGAGACCTGTACGATTTCGTCAAGTTAGTGAGTTTGATAGGGGCCGTATAGTGGGACTTCGGGAAGCTGGACTTTCTTTTCAATTGCAGTTAGAGTGCAAAGAAGTGTAGACACTGTGGTTAGGTGTTGTCAGGCATGGCTTCCAGAAGGCCGTACGCAAAGAGCAAGGGGCACTGGACGCCGCCCTAGAACAACAGACCGTGAAGATCGCCGCCTAAGATTATTGGCCTTCAGGGACCGTTTCTCCACTACCAGGTCCATTGCAAATGAATGGTTTGCAGAACACGGAAGACCTATTGGCATGCGAAGTGTTTACCGACGAATGAGAAGTTTTGGCTTGTTTTCATACCGGCCACACTGGGTCCTCCCTTTAACTCGAGAACACCGACGTAATCGCCTTGGGTGGTGCAGACAACGGTCACTCTGGGATCAGGAATGGAACAGTATTGTCTTTAGTGACGAGTCTCGATTTTGTTTAGGCATGCACGATGGTCGTGCCAGGGTTAGAAGGCGACGTGGTGAAAGGAGGAATCCACAGTTTTTTGTTGAAAGACATGTTCATCACACTGTTGGAGTTATGGTTTGGGGTGTTATAGCTTATGGTTCCAGGTCACCTTTAATCTTCATCAGAGGTAACATGAACGCGCAGCGTTATATCCACGAAGTTCTAGAACCCCATCTTTTACCCTATCTTGACACCCTGGCAGATCCAACTTTCCAACAAGATAATGCCCGACCACATGTTGCAAGAGTCACAATAGACTTCTTTCAACATAATGATGTCACATTGTTACCATGGCCACCAAGATCTCCCGACTCATCCCCAATTGAGCACGTGTGGGATATGATGGGTAGGAGATTGCTCAATTTGCAACATCCTCCTCAGACTCTAGAAGCACTTCGAGAGGAGTTGGTGGTTCCCTGGAATGAGATACCACAGAAGGACATTGACCACCTGATCAGAAGCATGCCTAGGCGCGTTCGAGAATGCACATCAGGGTGCATCCACACATTATTAAAGGTCAAAGGGCTTTAAAGCAGTGCAATCATTTTGAAATTTTTATCATTTACTTATTATGCTTCATTAAGTACTTATACAAAATTGTATTAAAATAAAACCATTTAAACTGGGCGTTCGGATTTATATGTCACTTAGTATATTTATGACAAAGAATGTACGTCTCTAACTTTTTCTGCAAATTTTATTATGTTTATTTATTTTTTGTCACGAATATTCGTTCAGATCCCGCTTGAGACACTATCGGAATTAATAAATTTAATCACGCTGGGGCTAAATTACCTCCTTGATGTTATCGATACCAACGCCCAATTATAACAAAATTAGGTAAAGGATATTTAAGATATTCAAGAAAAAACCTTTTTTTTAAATTTTAACACCCTGTATCTTGAGAACGAATAATTTGCGGACCTTATATGAACTTTTTATCTTAAAATTGCTCAAAGAAGCGTGTGTTAAATGTATAGTAATTAACACCCTGTGTTTGCTATCTTGGAACATATTTCTAAAATATTCATATACGAGTATTAACAAAAAACTCATGAAAATGGGCATCCGATAGTGTAAAAATGAACATGGTATTCCATTGAATTATTTTTGTGAAACATTATTTTTTCCGTTTTCAACCACTCTGTAGTGATCATCCACAAAATTTGAAAAGTGGATACAGTAGTCTGAACATTTTTGGCTCAAAATTCATACTGTAACTGTCAACATAGCAGATATACAGGCTGTCAAACTTTGATATCTTTTTGGTATAAGATACCCCCTAATTCAACAATTAATAACCAAAACCAATAAGTATGTGAGATCAATACAGGGTGTCCGCAAAGTTGGGGTTTTCCTTTACACGACGTGTAGATCTTGAGAACATAAGCAATTTTTCTTAGTACCATATACACCAATGTCTTAAGGGAACCGAGATAAAGGGCTCTGCAACATCAAAAATATCTGAATATCGTCCTGTAGCCGCGACATCCCCGAGTGGTACTAGGACACTAGCTCAACCCGACGACAGAACTGGGTCGGGGTCAGTGTCTCAGGTCAGTATGCAACATTCAACCGACGGTTACGGCCACGCGTGTAGTCGTAATCGAGTAGACGAGAATCCCTCAACACGCACTAGAGACGTGGCTAGAGAAGTGCAAGTGTCAAAAACTAAAGTGTGGCAAACGCTGCGTGAAGAGGGGCTGTATCCGTTTCACGTCCAACGTGTACAAGCCCTTCAACCTGACGATTTTCCAGCAAGAGTGCGGTTTTGTGAGTGGTTGTTGAATCAACATGACAATAATCTGGACTTTTTGAAGTGCATATTGGTTACAGACGAATCTACGTTCACGCGTAATGGGGTGAATAACTTTCGCAACACTCATGTTTGGTCAGTAGAAAATCCGCACGCTGTCCGTCGGGCACATTTTCAACAAACATTTTCGGTGAATGTTTGGGCTGGCATGGTGAACGGTATGCTCACTGGACCATTTATTCTTCCAAATCGATTGGACGGGATTCAATACCTAGACTTTTCACGCAACATTTTGCCTTCCTTGTTTGCCTGCGTCTGCTCGGTAGCATCAACTGATTTCATTTTCTGTTGGAGCGGTATGATTTCGGGCAGAGACGTACTTAGCCCTTCTCGCCAACTGGAGAGTGAGTACTTTTTCCTTTATTTTTTTTTTACTTGGTCGCCCTCGTTTCACTACACATTACCTTTGTTATTTCAAGGGTAGTTGTTTCTGAAAAGGAAAACCCCAACTTTGCGGACACCGTGTATTGGTCTTTTAAAAGGACCTATCCGAATGTGTGATAAAGAGTAAGACATTCTATTTGAGAAAAATCAACTTTGAGATGTGGGACATTATAATTGTGATAAATAAATTAATCTGCCTCCAAATACCAGTTACAATAATCCATAAATAATTTTCTTTGAATAGTTTTTACTTAGGAGCAATACTTCGTCCTCGCACGGTTGGGACACCCTGTATATAATACAATTCTGACATGACGCTATATAGCAGCAACTTCTTCATCTTCAGGTAGAATACGTTAATCAATGCCTTAACGTATTCAGATGATTAAATTAAAACACAAAAACGTTATCACTAAAAATTTGTATTAATATCAGTTGTTTAGAGTAGAAATTGACGCTCCGGTTCGGACACAGTCCCAAAGTTGTTTGTGTTGGGGCCGTTAGGTATCCACTGGCGGAGCTGGAGCATTTGGAGCTCAGAAAAAGCCACACACATCACCAGGACGCTTGGCCAGTCGGACATACAATTAATTGCAGGACGCTTTAATGACCTCCTTGATTTTCATAGTCTCGGCAGTGTACTTTGGAACTACGCCCCTGTACCCGCTCGGTATCTAGACTGGACAGGTATTTGTAAAACTACAGATAACTTGTGTGGGTGTACTATCTTGATGATGCCAAACAGCAGACATACTTGTCTTTCGAGTTACTCAACCAAGAAACAACTTTTTATTAAATCATTTGCAATCGCAAGGTCCTTTTTAGTCGTCTTTACCTCAGTCGTCATTAAGGTAATTATACTAGTTTTAGAATTAATTTAAGAAATGAATGGTGTTGAAGATTCTAATGGTATTATTAGAATGTTTGATAATTAGTGAACAAAATGTTTGTGAGTAAAAATTAGTTCCACTTTTTACATTTGTTAGGGTTTCATGAGACCGCTAGTTAAAACTATATACAACTAAAACACATAGAAGCTGATAAAGATAAAGCATTTTACCAGAGCTCAACATTAGTATATTGATTTGTTTCATTCAAACCATAAATTAGCAATCTGTGGAGCTTTGGTCTTTAAGGAAAATAGTATCTTGGATGGTAAAGGTAGTCTAATCATATTAGCAAATTTCCCCGAAGTAATTGTGATGTCCGGTTTTATTGGTGCAAGTTGTTCAAGGGGGTATTTTAAACATGGACGCATAAAATGGGTATACCAATTTTTGTGGAGAAACAATGAATGAGAAAACTTGTTTTTTGGGATACAATCGAGTATTGACAGGAACGAAAATACTCTGCATTTAAGATTCTTAGGTATTTATGAGCAGGGGCTTATAGGGGGCCATGGCCATGCACCTCAAAAAAATAGTTTTTAAGCGCCGATCAGCAATAAATCCATTAAGTGCTAATATAACCTAGGTATACTAGAAAGAAAAAT